TTGTAGGTTTTTATTGGATAAAAAATTTTTGGTGTTTGGGAAGATAGTTGGGTTTTTATGTGGTTGGATGTGATATTTGTGAGAGAAAAAGTGAAATGATTATGGGGTTGGATGTGATATTTTGTTTGGATATGTTTTTTTTGATTTTGTAAAAAGTTTGTCTTTTAGTGGAAAAAATGAGAAAAAAATTTGGAACCTAGGTTCCCAAACACCACCCTAGTAGACTTGCACCACCATGAAAATAAAATTATATTTCTATTGTTCCACTAAAAAGCAATTTCCCCATTAAAGTATCTCACGTTTGGTTGATGAAGATTATTTTAAATTTGAAATGGTAGAAAAGTGCGGTACCGCATTACCAATCTAAAATGAAAATTAAGTTTTCTGCCGCCAATAGGAGAGGTGTCGGGTTCAAAGCTCTACTAGGGCATGAATAACTCTAAAATTTATCCAAATGAATGAAAGATAACCAAACCAAGCCAAGCCTTAAGTCCCATCAACTAGGGTCGGCTACATGAATCCTTCTTCTCCACGCGGCCCTATCAAAGACTATTTCGTTAGTCAAATTAAGTAGATCCATATCTTTATTTACAACGCTAACCAACGTTAATCTAGGCCTACCTCGTTTCCTAACACTTCCATCTGCTATTACAGCATCGCATCTCTTCACTACTGCCTTTTTTGGTCTCCGTTGAATATGGAAGCCTTATGAAAGGTTATCTGTGGACTTTCTTCCACTTCCTTTGAGGGGACAGGCCATCATAGGCATGTCCCGAACAATTCTTATTTGTTTTGAGAAGGCTGTCTATCATCGGCCTGACTTAAGCCCTGGGCAATTTGGTTTGGAGGAGGATTTTCAGTGTACTTTGACGGACCCTCTTGTGGAAATAAGAACCATATCTCGGGGTGGGCCAAAGATCAACCGAGATTAGTCAAAATTTGGTGATTCTCATCGGTTTAATCAAGAGTGGGAAAGAAGACACATTTTATTAATCAACTATCAAGGTATATACACCCTTTATGTGGTTTTTTAAAAGTATGTTTACGTATAGCTGTAGTTGATTTTTATTGTCTACTATTATTTTCTCTAATATAGTTGATGGGCCCAATCCTTCCACTTCTGAAATCCCCCAACAAACCTGTCTTTCACAACATCCACTGCCTCCTACATTTGTATATAATGAAGGTAATTATAAGCCCGCCATTCCACCCATGATTTCTACTATTCTTTTCTCTACAGCTCTATAACATTGAACTGTTTTTTGAATTTTGAATTTTCTATATAATGAAGGGCCCAATCCTTCCACTTCTGAAATCCCCCAGCAAACCAACCCTTCAGAACATTCGCCGCCTTCTACATTTGTATATAATGAAGGTAGTTATAAGCCTGCCATTCCACCAACGATTTCTCTATAACTAGTCTATGATTATTTACAGCTGTAGTTGATACTCTTCTTTTCTCTACAGCTCTATAACATTGAATTGTTTTTTGAATTTTGTTGTAGGTGAAGAGAGTCTTTCTGATGTATTGGGACTCCGCACTAAACTTTAGTTTGGGAAGTGGGAACTTTTTAGGTTAACTGTTTTTTGAATTTTTTTTATGAACTGTTTTTAGGTGAACTATTTTTTGAATATTTTTGATGTTCTATATTTCATAGGTGCATTTGTTGGGGAAGGTGGTCTGGATGATGTAGCTACCGGGTCCACAACTCCCAATTCAACAGGTAGTTTGCAGCACTGTCAAGATAAAGTTTTCCTCTTCATTTTTGTTTGTCCTACTTTGTTGTTTGATTGATATAGTTTCTATAGTTTTAGTTTTGTTTGATTCATATATTTATAATGTTTTTAATTTTGATGTTCTATATTTCATAGCTGCCACTGTTGGGGACACTCAGCACAACTCACCACCACCGCTGACCCCCAATCCAACCGGTTTAATAGTTTGTTGCACTGTCAAGATAAAGTTATCCTCTTTTTTTTTTTGGTCTTACCTTGTTTTAGTGGTTATGAGTTGTGAATTATTTATTTTGATTATGTGTATGTCCAAATTATTAGTCTATGTTAATTATTTATTTTTTATTGAAAGGTGTGCCTCGCTTCAATGAAGCGTGCACCTCACCTTGTGCCTAAGCCACAATGAAAAGTTTTGGAAGTGAGAACTTTTTAAGTTAACTGTTTTTTGAATTTTTTCGATGAATTGATTTTGGCGGTGTTTGGGAAGCCTAGGTAGAGGCTATTTTAGCCTCAACAATAAAAAAAGCCTTTTAGCCCCTTTAGGCCATTGATTTAAGAAAAAAAAAAAATAGCCCGGCTGTGGGCTGTCACAGTGACAGTGTAAGACTGTCACTGTGACAGGTTGGTTAATTACAATTTTACCCCTCTAAATTAATTTTGAAAAATGTGATGTCATTTTAACTTCAAACATCATTTCAACACATTTTTCAATACACCAACTCAAATAAAAATCCATCCCATCTTCCCAAACACAA